CCCCCACCAACTGGAATTTTCAAACTTTTTTTATTATTATTATCAAATTCTATTTTTTGTTTAGTTGCAAGTATAGATATGAGTTTGTAAGACTTAAGGTCAAAATCTTACAAATTTTTCCATATCTTATATGGAAAAAAAGGACTGAAATTATCTTATTGGTCTTTTTCCCAGGTCCCCTCACAACCTGCACTCTGAGCATTACTGTGTATCTGCCACTGGAGATTTTGATGGGAAATAGCTGGAAGGGAGGCAGCTGGGAAGAATGTGCTGGAAGTATGCAATGGGGAAGCAGAATTAAAACCTACCAGAGCAAAACAGCCAAGCTGTCTTCTTAATGTCTCCCCACCTCCCTACCTTCTCTCAAGTGAGGCCTCTTCTTAAATGTACAGAAGTATAATTAAAAGGAATTGCTTTGAACAGCCAGGGAGTATTATTGTAAAAAAGTAAAAGTGTTCCAAAATGAAGCAATATCATACCTAAGATCAGTGCATTGAAAGTCATGAAGAAACCTCGCTACTCGGGGCATATTCATTTTAAATGTTATTAATACTTTGAAATGTATTACAACCATCAGCAACTTGGTGTGAAGCTTGAAGAATATAGAGATATCTGTAATACTGTGAAAATGTTACAAAAAGTGAAAGTGAACATTTTGAGGAGGAATTCTCAAATATTCAGTGTTCAGATTTTTAATGGGGTTGTTGATAACCTTGTTACCTACTAGAGTTCTGACTATAAAATGCATTTAACTTCTTGGCAATAGTCAAATGAGTGACAGCCAGAGATGGCATACACAGTGTACTTGATAAAATGCTATTTATTTAAAGTATTAGAGTGGCCATTATGTTCAAGTACAAAGTTCTCCTCTCAATAAATTTAGTCTAGGAAAAATAAAATGTTTTAGGCTGTTTTTAAGTTTCAGTAGAACACCGTGTACTCTCAGAGCTTTATTTAAGATAGTGTCAAATGTAAAAGCTGGTTTTGACATATTCACTCGTAAACAGAAATAAGTTTTCAGGTTGTTTCTGTGATTATTCTCCATTATTGCATACTTATTGGTAAGGATATGGTGACTTTATAAACTCTTGAAACCTTCAGTCATTTCAGAAGTTTCTGTTGAGTATATACGGTCAGTTTGGTGTGTGTATATGTGTGTGTTATTCAAAGAATTGAAAATGAAGAAGAATTCAAGTCTTTGCATTATTGCTGCTTACCTGGCATCAGAGGTAAGATTTTAATCCTGTCTCAGTGCCCTGTATGAACTTGGACACCTTCTTGAACCTCTCCAAGAACTCTTTTTCCTAATCTGGAAATAGGGGCCATAATTATCTAACTTGCAGAATGGTTGTAAGGATTCAGTAAATAATGTACTAAAGTTGGTAGGAAAAATAATTTCTTTTGTGATAAAACAAATATTGTTGTCTATTTCCTTTTGAAAAACACATGATCTAAACATAGAAATATGTTTAAACAATATAATCCAATGTCGAGAAAGCACAACATTTATATTTATAGGAAGCATAGAATTTATTAGCTAGAAAGAATTGTAGAAATTATAAGGTTCAGTGACTTCCTAGCATTTGTTTGGCTTATGACCACTTTGAGAACGTGAGAGTTATGATCCTTCTTGCCCCCAAATGCCTCTCTACACAGAAATTAGCATATAATTTTAAGGATACACCCTAAAACCTATTCCTAATCCCAAATCCCTTGGGTCAAGAATTCTCAATTTAATTCACCACTTTGAATCTAAAGATGGAAAAATTAAGGAATATAAGTGAAATAAAGTGATATGCTCTTGAGAATTAAAAATTATTTTGAGAACTCTTTTTTTTTTTTTTTAATTATATTTACCTGACTGAGAGAGACACAGCAAGAGAGGGAACACAAGTAGGGGGAGTGAGAGAGGGAGAAGCAGGCTTCCCGCTGAGCAGGGAGCCAGACACGGGGCTCGATCCCAGGACCCTGGGATCATGACCTGAGCCAAAGGCAGACACCCAACGACGGAGCCACCCAGGCAACCTGAGAACTCTTTTACAAAGAAGTCGTTCTCTAACACTTTAAGGATACAGCCTTCATCAGTTTTTTTGAGCATTGTTCTCAGACTGCAGCTGCATTTCATTTGTGGACTTGCTGACTAGTCCACCTTTGGTGCATGTTAGTGACAAGAGCTCTTTGCAGTCACACACAAAGGTAATTGAAATAATTTGGGTACTGATTTTACTTTTAACACATTTTTTCCCAAAAAATTGTGTTCTTGCATTGTCAGTAAACATTCATTAGGTACCTGTGATATTGAGAGCACAAGATAATGAGACCCAGTTTCTGACTTTGATTTGGGCACAGTCGAGTAACAGGCTCATAAGCCCATAAGAGGGGAGCTCAGAGAGAGGAGCAACTCATTCAGCCCCAGAACTTTGAGAAGGTCCCACATTTAAGGTAACATTCAAGTTGTATCTTCAATGATGTGTAGGAGTTTTCTAGGCAGAGAATCCAAATATCTTAACTCCCTGTATGTGCAGATTTTGCAATGCTTATCTTTTTAGTTTAGAATACTTAATTAATACATATATGGAAATTAGTCCTAAAACATATGGAATGTCCCACTGAAGACCCATTCCCTAGTTTCATCAACCATGCACCCTCATTCCCTGAGCCACGCAGTCTCCAAACCTCAGGGTCATTCTCCTCTATGGCCTGCAATTTCTAGTTACTCACAAGGGCTTGCAAATTCTTTCTTCAGAGCATCCCTGCACCTTCCTATTCTGTTCCCACTACCATCTTCCCATAGTTCTCTATTTTACTAGACCTGATCCAGGTTGCACAACCTCACCAGTCCTTTTTTCTACACAACCCCAAATACATTTTCCTAAAATTAATTTAATCTGAAGCCTTGCAAAGAAACACTTGCTCTAAGTTATGCATAGGACTTGGTTATCTAGTATACTTATTATCTTACTTAAAGCCTGCCACAATCTGACCTCAGGCTCATCACCCATTATTCTCCAGCACGTTTGTACTCCAGCCAGGCAAGGGCAGGGCAGAGATGGTAAGAGCCCACATTAAGCTCAGGTCTCACCTTCTCCACTTGCTAGCTATTGCACTTGATCTCTCCAAGCTTGTTTCCTTATCTGTAAGTTATATGGACAAATAACCAAGCAACTGAAAGCTGTTGGGGAAATTAGTGTGATGATGCATGGAAAGTGCCTGGGGCTGTGCCTGACACATTAATTGGCTCTCAGTAAATGGTAACATTTGTAATCATCATCATCATCCCTTTCCTCTGAAGTGCACCACGTCTCTGTCACACAGTCGTTTCTAAAAACCCATCCTCTACTTACCCAGGTCATTTGTTATTCCTTTATGACTTGCTTCAGGTCCTACTTACCTTCCTGCTGATTCCTTCCTCCAAACCCACCTTCTCTCACCTCTCCTACATTACTGCTGTGTTTGCTCTACAGTGCTTCCAAACTTTTCTTAAGGATCTTGTGTTTCTCACCAGACTTTAGTAGTTAGAGCTGCCCCAAAATGGAGTAGACTGTCTTGCAAAGTCATGAGCCTCCTTGACCTCCCTCTCTTTTGAGGATGTTGAAGTGATCATGAAACAGATGGAAGATTGGATAGTTGACATCTAAGGATCCTTTCAGTAGTGATTTTTGGAGTCTGAGTTGTTTAAGATCGGGGCATGGCTTATACCTCCTCCTACTTCTCACAGCTAAGAACATTGTAGGCACACTCAGTTACATGGTGTTTGGCAAATTGGTTTTCTGCTCTTGATCCCTGTCGCAGACAAGCAGTGGCTTTTCTTCCTGCAGGGAAGTTTGGGAGGATGAGTGCTGGGTTGGGGGATGGAAACCCCCGTGTTTATCACACTGTGACCTATAGTAAACTTCTAGTAAATGTTTAATGAACAAGCACCAGCCATAAGCAATGTTTCACTGCATCATTGTATATATTCCTTGGAAACAAGCAAATGAAAGAGTGGCCTCCAAATTTAAGGCTGAAGTTTTAGGAAGAAGTTGAAGGAAAAGGTCCATTGCCAAAAAACAAAACTCCTTAGGTTCCACAGAAAAAGCTCTTTTTCTGAAAATTTTATTTCCCTTCCTTACAACCTCCTTCCTGGGACAAAGAGAGGGTCCATGAATGTAAGAGTTTATCTTCAGTGTTTATCTTCAGTGTCCTTTTTGGAAACTCTGTTCTTCACATTCAGTTTTGAAACGGTTTCATTACACAGGACACCTCTAATGTCTGCCAGTTTGTTGTATCTCTAAAATCAACTGCTTTTCCTTCTCTGTTGCTGAATTTCAGGTAGCTGCACTTAATCTCATTGTGGCCTGGCCTTTTTATACCAGTTTGCCTTGATGCTGAAAGAACCTTCAGCTTTAAAGAATGCCTCCCCACCCCTCTCCAGATAGAGGAGGGGAGAGGGTGACATAATGGTGGATAGGGAAGGAGGGGAGGAAATCAGTTCATCGAAGGCTGTCAGGGTGTTTTAAGTGACTTTTTACTTCTTGAATTTAAGATCAACATAAACTATGTAGACATTTCAGGCTGAGAATTTAAGTAGCAACAAAAAAGAATGGTTTTTGCTAATGTCAGGAATGACTCATCTGGTAAGAATGGTATTGTATTGGTAATACAATACAGAGAGAAGGAAAAGACTGTGGTATCTTCTCTCTTTGTGTTTCTGACCTTGAGGAGAATTATAACTTGTTTGTTGCAGAAGTTGAGCATCTAATGTGCTGATGCATCTGTTAGTTCTTATATATTAAATGGCACAGCACTTGCAGTTCCCCGTGATTGCTTTGTGGGTGAAATATTTTCTGCAATCTGATGAACTGTTTTTTTTTAAAGAATGTATTTATTTGTATTGTTTGCATCTCTGATTTCACAAAAATATGCTTTCTATTCTATTTCAACACCCTGGTCTCCTCATTGCAAATATGTTTGGCTTTTTATTTTCAAGTTAACATTATTATGATTTCTTTTTAACATAGAGACCATGAACCAGGCACCTCCTGCTAGAAAGCTGGAAGAGGTTCTTCATCTAGCAGAGCTCTGCATAGAAGTCTTACAGCAGAATGAAGAGCACCATGCAGAGGTGATGACTTGCTTTAACTGTCCTATAAATCTCCATATAATGCTTTGCCATAGTGGGAACAGCACTGAAGAAGGGGCCTGCCCATATACTTTGATATACATCTGGCCATTTACCTGTAAAAACCTGAGAACATATGTGCATTTCCTGGATATGCAATTACTATATGTTACAAAGGGGTTGTCTATGTATATGATTTATTATCTATTCCTGACAACAGTCACGGAACATGGGGGAGCTTATGGGATCTGCCAGAGATGTACAAGTAGTAAGAAGCAAAGCTGGAGCACAAACCCCATCTCATGATGCCAGATTGCTTGCTTCTCCCCCCCATGCCATGACTGCTTTAGTTTAGAAATGTAAATTAATCAGTGTACAAAAGGAAAAGTTGCGATCAACTATAACAAAATCAAATAGAAGACATTCATAACTGTATGACTGAGAACTAGTCTTTTATTCTTACCATCAAACTTTTCTTTAAATTTTCAGTAAGCTTGCATTGTTTATAGTTTTCTAAAGTTTTAATTATATATTAACATTCACCCTATAGAGTAGTATTTCACCAGGCCAACTGCTTATTCTAAGACTTAAAAGTCTTTCTA